AGCAGGTCCCCCAGCCCTACCAGGGGCCCAGCACTAGTGCTGAAGCCAAGGGTCTGCTGGAGGGCATAGCTCTGACTTCACAGGTCTGGGTAACCTGGGGAGTGGCCCTCATCACAGATCTGCTTGCAGACTCAATTAATGAGGTGGCTGTGGGTTAAGTGAAATAAATGCTTAACGGACATTGAGCAGTCCACTCTGATGCCAACCTTGTGAATGGCACAGGAGTGGGAGGGGAGTGCTAAGAAAAGCAGCGGCAAAACCCAGCGATGCTGTCTGATAGCTCAGTGACACCAACATAGGACCGCAGTGAGGTGTGCTCCAGCGGGTGGTGGTGAAGGTCCCAGTGCCAGCACACCCTGCCAACGTGCCAGCGCCTCGCTCTGCCCTGCCTGGCTCGCTCCCTGTTACTCCAAGACTAAACGACTCTCATTTCCACACAGCAGGGAGGGCGCTTTTCACCAAGGGATGTCCCTTGACTTAGACCAGCCCCTTGTAAAACTGCCAGCTCCAAAATTACACATGTATTCACAGAAAAAAGAATTCTGCCAACTCCACATTGCAGTAATATCTGTTGTGCTGTTGGACGCAACATCTTAGACCTGATCCAAGACTGCTCCTCAGCAGTTTCCTTTTAATGAAGAACCTTTCTTTTTACAAGAGCTTCCCAAAGACCCTTGATAGATAACCTGGGGCTGTAGCATTTGTCTTCAATACATTTCTGGCAGTGAAATTTCAAAAAGATGAAAAGGGTCTTCCCAGCCCATTCAGCCAGCCCCCCCACGCCCTCTGGCTTCCGTCTCACAGGAGCAGGGCTGGCTCCCCACGCCCACCAGGGCACCACGTGTCAGCTCCAAAGCCCAGGTGTCAAGCCATCGCTGACATCCCTGTCTGCATGTCACCCTGATGAGCACTGGGATGGCCTTTCCCACTGCTACCCTTCTGTGCCTCCTGCCCTCACTCAATGGCTGTAAAAGCGTTCCTGTAGCAGGGGCCCCATGGCAAGCTTGCCCTGTACTGCTAGTCATTAGAGGAGTGGAGACAGGGCATGGGCAGCCTTGGAGCAGTGTGTGAATCATGCAATCACAGAATGGTTTGGGTTGGAAGGGACCTTCAAAGGCCATCCAGTTCCACCCCCTGTCCTGGGCAGGGACACCTCCCACCAGACCAGGCTGCTCAAAGCCCCATCCAGCCTGGCCTTGAACCCCTCCAGGGATGGGGCACCCACAGCTTCTCTGGGCAACCTGGGCCAGGGTCTCACGACCCTCATCATGCAACATTTCTTCCTTACATCTACTCAGAATCTCCCCTCTTTTAGTTTAAAGCCACCACCCCTTGTCCTATCACAACAGGCCCTACTAAAAATTCCTTCCCTGTCTTTCTTATAAGCCCCCTTTGGGGACTGGAAGGGGCTCTAAGGTCTTTCTGGAGCCTTTTCTTCTGGCTGAACACCCCCAAGTCTCTCAGCCTGTCCTCACACAGAAGTACTCCATCCCTCTGACCATCTTCGTGACTCTATATGCAGAGGTGGCAAGTGGGGCTGAATTACAGGGTGAGGGAGAAGAGGCTGAGGAGGTGAATGAGCCTCCCATGCAATTGGGACAGGCGTCTGCCCCCTTGCCCCTTCCCTGCCCTCACTGCCCCGGTGGGACCTGCTGCCAATGGAAACATCACCTCCTAGAAGACAGAGTGTACTGCAGCCAGTCAAAGACCCACGGGTGGTGACATACAGGAGTACAAGCTGCCCAACAGCCCTCCCACAACGTGGGTCCTGCAGGGTCAGCTGGCAGTTGATGGGTGAGGTGCTGCTGATGCCTCCCAAGACACTGTAGGAAAAGACGGACTGAAAGAGGAGGGGAACAAAGAGGGGAACAACCCTCCAACTCAGTCTTGAGAGTTTGCTGAAACACCCTGCAGAAATGCCTGAAACAAAGTACACCTCCTCTGACAGATGTGGTCCCAACAGCTGTAGCTGCTGCTTGATGAGCTGCCACGAGTGTATTCAAGATGGTCTCCCAGTCAGCATGCAGCCTGGACCATGCCAGGGCGATGCCCACCCCACATGCAGTGGGAAAGAGCAGGAGGTCAGCAGAGCCTCCTGAACCTGCTTCTTCTCACCAAGACATATGGGCCAAGGAAGGAAGTTGTTGGACATTCCCCCCAGCCTCTTTTGCTCAGAGCTGCTGCAACAGGGGTGGCCCCCATCAAAGGCTGCTGCCTCCAGCTCTCAGGCTCTACTGGTTGAGGACAGAAAAAGGCATCAGTGTTCGCAGTCCAGCTTTGGGGCTGACTTCTCAGCAGCTCTCTGCAGGGAAGGAAGGAGGCCGAGACAGACCTTGACTATTGCAGAAGAGTTGTGACATGTTGGGAGCTGGTAACTGTTGACAAACCATTGCCCATAGGTTTTACCATCTTTGATCTCTGGATGATACAAATCTCTCCTGTGCCCTTGGTGTTCACACTCCTTCCATTGTGTTTGCCTTCCTCCTCTCCTTCAGTTCCTTTATTGCCCTGCGGCAGTTGGTAGATGCACAGAAAGATTTAACTCCCGGGAAGGTCCAATGTATTGCAGTCGATAAATAACTCACAGCTGGAGATTTGGAGTACTTTGTGTTTCCTCAGAAAAAAAAAACGTTAGGGCCTCTTTGTGTAATCTTGAGCAAAGAGAAGCCACCAGATGGGCACACAATGATTAAATTTGTCCATGCAAACCAGGGAGCCAAGATCCTCACACGGAGGAGGTGTGTATAGGGAGAGACCCAGGTATAAAGAGGCCAGCATGGAGCTGGGAGCAATGGGACTGACTGCTCTGGCACCCAGCGTCCACTCAGCGGCACCGCAGTCATGGGTGAGTTCTCCTCCTCACAGCTCCTTTCCTGCAGCACTCACAGCTCTGGGGGATGCAGGTAGACATCAGTGAGGGACTGTAGGAGTGGGAGCTGATGGGAATGTCCAGTATCCGTCCCACTCTTCTCCTTTCCACCCAGCCATTTCTTTTTAGTTCTTTGCTGCTGCTGGGTTGTTTCCTGCATCCTTGTGAATCATGTGCTCTGCAGCTGGAGCACCAGGTTTTATACACCAAATTCAGCTCCAGGGCTTTGAACTGTTTGCTCTGAATGCCCTTAACACAGATTTACTTTTTTTCCCATAAAAACATCCTTTTGCCTCCAGACCTGTAGAAAAAACCCAAACCACATTTAGGAGAAACATGAGAAAATGTGATTGCAGGTTGTTGTCTGGTGCAAGGAAGGGGCTGATCAGGAGGGTGACAAAGCCATTTCTCACCTCGCTTCACCCCTGCAGGGGCAGAGCCTGCACCGAAGCTGCAGCTCCTGCCACCCCGGGAGCCCCCTGCTCCTGCCTGTGCCCCCTGGCTTTGCCTCCCCTGGTCTGAGCTCCCCAGGGGCTGGGGGTGGTAGTGCTGGGGATCCTCACAGTGATGGGCACTTTCCTCCCCAGGGCTCAAGGATGGGACATATCAGCTCCACAGGGACCTTGTCCTCCTGTCTGCTGTGGTGGGGATGCTTCTCCTCTGTGTGAGCCCAGCGCATGTGGTCAGCTACCAGAGCGGTGAGTAGGTCGGGTGGGGCTCTGAGCACCTGAACTAATTGAAGATGTGCCTGCTCATTGCAGGGGGGGTGGACCAGATGACCTTTAAAGGTCTTTTCCCACTCAAACTATTCTACGATTCTATGAGTAGGAATGCCAGGGGCACAGCTGACCAGCCGCCAGGTTTGGGTGCAGCTGCACTGCCCATGGTCAGGCTCCAAGGTGCTGGGTGCAAGTGTCCCCATACCTGTGGCCACAGAGACAGCAAATCTCTGCTTTCAAACCTACCTGCAAAGCAGGGTAATTCTTCCCTCTCATCACCAGCAGATAAGAGGTGTTCCCAATATGTTCCACTGGTTGTGGAGCACCCAGTGAGATCCAGCATTAGCAGAATCAGCAGAGCTGCCCCACAATAACCTGCCAGCTCATCCTCCAGTACAGGACCCTCATGTCTTGCTTCATCTGCTGCTGCAGGGTTCCCTGCAGACTGCAGCAACCTCTCCAGCAGCAGCCCCAGTGGGGTGTACGTCATCCAGCCGGCCGGGTCACCCCCACGGGTGGTGTGGTGTGACATGGACACCGAAGGCAAGGGCTGGACTGTTGTCCAGAGAAACACTTACACCACTGAAATCACATGGAAGGAGTCCTGGACCACCTACAAGTATGGCTTCGGGAACGTGCGGGGCGATCACTGGCTGGGCACCGAGTACCTGCACCTGCTGACGCAGCAGGGCACCTACAAGGTCCGCTTTGTTGTGCAGAATAAAGCCAACATCACCTATTACGCTGAGTACGACATCTTCAGCGTGGAGAGCGAGGCTAGTGGGTACCCGCTGAGGCTGGGCCGGTTCCTGGGCAGCGGGGAGGACTATCTGACCAGCTATCACTCCCGGTATGGGGGCATACACGACAACATGAAGTTCAGCACAGCTGACAGGGACCAGGACCAGCACAGCGGGAACTGCGCCAACAGCTACGGGGGCTGGTGGTACGACAAGTGCCAGAACGTCCTGCTCAATGGCAAGAGGTACATCTTCTGGCCAGGAATCTGCCCAAGCGGAGATTGCACATCGTCCCTCATCCTGGTGAAACCCACAGACGTGTGCTGACCATGTCACAGTGCCCAGCCTCCTAGGAGCCTGTGGAAGCATCCCCGTCCCCAGCTCAATGTCCCGCTCCTGTGCCTGCCAACAGCTCTGTGCCAACCCTGGTGCCTGTCCTGCACTGCCCACAGCTCCCACACCGCCACCAGCTGAAGCACAGCGGCTCTGGGGCTCAGGAGCAATCGCCCAGAGCCCTGGGCATGTGGGCAGCTTCGCCCAGTGCCGCGGTGCTGGCTGGCACTGGGACGCAGGCACTGTCCTGGGGAGGGGGAGACAGTGCAAGTTCCCTCCCTGTGCTGACCTTTAAAGGTCTTTTCCCACTCAAACTATTCTACGATTCTATGAGTAGGAATGCCAGGGGCACAGCTGACCAGCCGCCAGGTTTGGGTGCAGCTGCACTGCCCATGGTCAGGCTCCAAGGTGCTGGGTGCAAGTGTCCCCATACCTGTGGCCACAGAGACAGCAAATCTCTGCTTTCAAACCTACCTGCAAAGCAGGGTAATTCTTCCCTCTCATCACCAGCAGATAAGAGGTGTTCCCAATATGTTCCACTGGTTGTGGAGCACCCAGTGAGATCCAGCATTAGCAGAATCAGCAGAGCTGCCCCACAATAACCTGCCAGCTCATCCTCCAGTACAGGACCCTCATGTCTTGCTTCATCTGCTGCTGCAGGGTTCCCTGCAGACTGCAGCAACCTCTCCAGCAGCAGCCCCAGTGGGGTGTACGTCATCCAGCCGGCCGGGTCACCCCCACGGGTGGTGTGGTGTGACATGGACACCGAAGGCAAGGGCTGGACTGTTGTCCAGAGAAACACTTACACCACTGAAATCACATGGAAGGAGTCCTGGACCACCTACAAGTATGGCTTCGGGAACGTGCGGGGCGATCACTGGCTGGGCACCGAGTACCTGCACCTGCTGACGCAGCAGGGCACCTACAAGGTCCGCTTTGTTGTGCAGAATAAAGCCAACATCACCTATTACGCTGAGTACGACATCTTCAGCGTGGAGAGCGAGGCTAGTGGGTACCCGCTGAGGCTGGGCCGGTTCCTGGGCAGCGGGGAGGACTATCTGACCAGCTATCACTCCCGGTATGGGGGCATACACGACAACATGAAGTTCAGCACAGCTGACAGGGACCAGGACCAGCACAGCGGGAACTGCGCCAACAGCTACGGGGGCTGGTGGTACGACAAGTGCCAGAACGTCCTGCTCAATGGCAAGAGGTACATCTTCTGGCCAGGAATCTGCCCAAGCGGAGATTGCACATCGTCCCTCATCCTGGTGAAACCCACAGACGTGTGCTGACCATGTCACAGTGCCCAGCCTCCTAGGAGCCTGTGGAAGCATCCCCGTCCCCAGCTCAATGTCCCGCTCCTGTGCCTGCCAACAGCTCTGTGCCAACCCTGGTGCCTGTCCTGCACTGCCCACAGCTCCCACACCGCCACCAGCTGAAGCACAGCGGCTCTGGGGCTCAGGAGCAATCGCCCAGAGCCCTGGGCATGTGGGCAGCTTCGCCCAGTGCCGCGGTGCTGGCTGGCACTGGGACGCAGGCACTGTCCTGGGGAGGGGGAGACAGTGCAAGTTCCCTCCCTGTGCGATCGGTGTACCCCTGCTTTGCTCGGGCCCTGCTCCCTCCCTGGGCCCCTCACGCCCCACAGCTCTGCTACCCATGGTGGGAGAAATCAGCTGCAATAAACCCTGGAGCCAGACTTTGCTGCCTTGTGTCTACCTGCCACAGCAACACTGCACACACACGGGAAGAGCTGAGGCCCCAGGGGAGTGGAGGATGCTTGGGGACGCCATGTTTGGGGAGGGGTATGGTGAGGGGCATTTTTGCATCCCCTGTCTGAGATACACCCTTTTCTTGCTCTGCTCCATGCAATGGCTGGGAGAGCTGGAGCCCCATCCCCATCCTGCATCAAGGGCTCGGGGGGGCCGGTGTCAGGGTGCCCCTGAAGGGCATCAGATCACTAGGAGGGGGTTTCATTCCATGAAGGATCCATTCCAGGGGTGGTCACAGAATCATAGAGTAGTTTGGTTCGAAAGGGATCTATAAGGCCATCTAGTCCAACCCCTCTGCCATGGGCAGGGACACCTTCCACTAGAGCAGGTTCCTCAGAGCCCTGTCCCCAGAGCCCCTTGACAGCCCAGGGCTGGGTGCTGGAGGGGGTGACGCTTCAATGCCCCAGTGGGTTGGGGAGACCCAGGGCAAGCAGAGCAGCCACACAATCCTCAGCCTGGGCTCACTGCAGCAGGTCCAGGGGCTGTGGGGCTCCTGGTAGCAGAAGGGCACTGCATCATAGCCAGTGCTTCCCCATGTTGGAGCAGGTGATGTTGGGTGGCCAGGACCCACCAGGACACAGCTGGCCATGGGGACCCACACCTGCATTTTGGCTGGAGGCCAGGGAGCCCCTGGGACTTGGGGACGGCACCTCCTCCAGTGAGCCAGACCATGTTGATACAATGGCCTGCAGCGACTTGCGAAAGCCTGTGGTGGGACTCTGCTGGGATGGGCACTGGGAGCACTGGGCACTATGGGAGCACTGAGGGATGCCCTGTGCATTAATATTTTCCCTGCAACCCCACAGATTTTTCTTTCTTAAGAAACCTGGCACTGCCCAGCGCAGCTGCTCACTCTGTATCAGCTTGTACGAACACTGGAGATACGGAGCAGGCATTTCCAGGTTGTAGGTGTTGTTTTAGACACATATTTTACCAGAGGTTTTAACAACTGCTGAACTGAGAGCCGGTGTGGGTGAAGACACCTCTCCAAGCGTAGATGTCAAGGTCATATCTCCAGCAAGTGGGGTTAATTCAGATTTACAAGGAAATAAGGAAACTTCCACCACCCCAGCTAATAAGGGAGTGACAGAAACCTTGAAGAGAAAGATACTGATTATTCATACACCTAAGAATAAGGACATTTCCCCATGATGCTCATCCAGACATTATGTTTCTAAAGCACATTTTATTCTCCAGAGCAGTGTGTTTCAGAAGTACAGGGTTTGCAATGTGTTGGTCTAATTATAATGCAATTAAAATAAAAACAGCTCAAAGGGGAAGAACCCAGAAAGGGAAGCAGAGGAGCTCTGTGAAAGAGGGGAAAGAAGAATCACGTGGGAGCCCCGGGTGTCCCCACTGCCAACCACTCTGCTTCCCCCAGCAAAGGGGCCTTGGAGGGCACTGGTCTGGCCACATGCCGGGGCAGACAGGCAGTGACGAAGCCCTAGCAGTAGGCAGTGGGTTTGATGAGGATGGCAGAAGCTTTGCAGTTCCCGTTGCACAGGCTGCCCCACGTCATGCCCCCCTTCACGTTCAGCCGTACAGAATAACATGCCGAGTACCACCACCCACCCCCATAGCTGGAGGCACAGTTCCCACTGTAAGTGTCCTGATCCCGATCTTTTGCAGAGAACTTCATGTTGTCATGGTTGACACCGGGACTCTTTGAGGCCATGGCATCCTCCGTTGTCCCAGAGTATGTTCCCAGCCTCAGCCGGTAGCCCTGGGACTCATCTTCCACACTGAAGAGGTTGTAGTCTGCAAACTTTGTGTTGTTTGCAGCATCCCAGAGGACAAACCTGACCTGGTAGACCTTCTGCCTGGAGATCTGGTGGATGTACTCAGTGCCCAGCCAGTACTCGGTGTGCACGTTCCCAAAGCCGTACTTGTAGGTGCTCCAGGACTCGGCCCAGGTGATCTCCGTGCCCTGCCGGTTCCTCTGGATGACCGTCCAGCCCCCATCTGTCACATTCATTTCGCAGTACACCACGATGGGGTGCAGTCCGGTGGGCTGGATGACGTAGACGCCACTGGGGCTGCCAGTGGGGATCTCACTGCAGTCCTTGGGCCAACCTGGGGCAGGAGAGAGGATGATTTAATAAGACAGAAATGCATTCCATAGTCTCTTTTGGCTGGTTCTGCAAGACAAGTCCAAGATGTTAATGAGACCTGGATTGCCTGAGGAACACACACCATACAAAAGCCATCCTCACCTGAGCACACAACACCTGCGTCCTCGCCATGCCCGCAATTGTGCTCTCCCCAAGGCCGCAGTGAGCACTGAGTGAGGAGCTTCTCCTCCCCATTGCAATTAACATCGTCCAGCCAGATAGGCCCAGATCCTCTCCCAAAAAAAGCACTGCTTGGCGCTGATACTGCCTCTCCACAGCCAAGCTGCCTACACACCACAGAGGCATCGTTCATGTCCCAGCTGTCATCACACACTGTTCCCCACTCATTGCGATACCAGATCTCCACCCGTCCAGAGCACTGGTTGGAGCCATTCACCAGCCGGAGCTGACCTGGAACATACGAAAGAACAGTAGAGAGGAGATTTGGAAGTGGACGACACCAAAGACAGCTAGAGCCCAGATCAGAAGGTACTTTCCAGATCAAGAAGTGGAGTCTATGCAGTAAGATGTAGAGGCTTTACACCTGTGGTCATGCTCCTGGCTGGTAAAGGAGCCTTTGTCTTCTGAAGTCTCCATTTCCAACTATTTTTAGGGTTTTGTTGCCCCAGAGACTCGCATGGGTTTGCCGTGTGTTCCCTCAGCCAAATGGGCATCAGCCATCCTCTCCCACCACTACAGGAAATGTGTTTCACCATTGTGGGAACCGCAGGAGCAAGGCTGAAGGTGAGATAGGGAATGGTACAATCTGGTAAAGTACCCTCAGACAAGGGTATTTCACGGAAGAAGACCACCTCTCTAGTTCTTAGTCCTGGGACAAGCAAAACAGCTGGGGAAGCTGGTGGTAGGAGATACCTTCCTTTCTTCTGCATCCTTCCCACTGACTGTCCCTACCACCCTCCTGAGGGGCAGGGGACGTGTATGGAGGGACAGCCTTGGCTTTGGGAAGGGATCAGAGCAGACCCTCTGGACTTCTCCACACCTACACATGAGCAGAAAGGCCTGTGACTGCAAGGTTCCTTGTCTGCCCCCACTAGATGTTTGAGAAAGGGCAGATGACTCATGTTGGGATGTGTATCTCTCTTGATGGATGCTGGGGCTCTGCTGAAAGCTTGCGGGATTGGAAGATGCCCTCCCTGATAGCCTGCTCTGGGGTGGTCCTAGCCATGTCCTGCTGGCAGAGACAGAGATCTTCATGTACCTACCATTCACTAACATGTTCCGAGCAGACATGGTGTTATTCAAGAAAGATTGATTGAAGGGGGACTGTCTTTGGATGGTTGTGGTGACATGTGGAGCAGGCAGGGCCAACACACAGGCAAGGAGCAGGAGGGGAGTGCACTGGGCAGCTGGGGGAGGAAGGGACAAGATTAGAGTTAAACAGAGCATCTGACTGTCAGAGCAAAATGTGTAACAGGGAACCAGCTGCAGTGAGGTGAAACAGCTGCAAGTCACCCCAAAACTGTGAGGATGGCATGGGGTTGTCTTTCTGACATGAACCTTGTAACCCGACTCCTTCTTGTCCCCAAGCTTTGTGCTGGAACCCAAGGTGCCCAGGAAATATGGGGAGCAAAATCAAGAGTCCTTTGCAGATAAAAAAAACTTCACCAAAGTGTTTATCTTTAACTACAAACTTAAGTGGAAACCTTGTGGAGTATTTTCTGTCCCTCCAGCTCACTGAACAGCTACATGGTATTCCTTCAGACTTTCTACTACCCTCCAGAGAATGCCAAGAATAAAACCAAGTTGTAATCAAACAACAATAATGTTATTCAACTTAATTGTAATAATAGTTATCCCAAGATTAAAATCTGAACATTCATGTAAAGGTGGCATCAGAGCTGCACCTCTGGGGGTTACAGCAGTGTTGGATTGCAAAACACCTGGAAAAGGCTGACTTTTCAATTGTACCTCTATTTTGGACACCTTTGACAGCAATTGGAAACCTACACTTTTCATAGACCAGTAACTGCAATTTTACATTTTTCACATATATACACTTAGATTTATGACTCTGCTGGGCTAAAACTAATGTGCAGTGACAATCTGCTATACTTTAACCCATCCTTTCCTCTGAACCTGTATCTGTTCTGCCAGGATAAAGGGGTGCTCCAAGGAGATGAGTTGCTGCAATATTTTTCTTTGTTCAACATCTTCTCTGCCCCCACTGACCCATTTGCATGGGAAAAGATCACTCTGACCTTCCCTCTGCAGGTTTTTGCCCTCCTGCTCCTGAGAACCCTGTTAGCAGAGATCTGCCCTCAATTTGCCTGGACCCTGAGTCTTGTTGAAGCTCTCCCTGCTGCGCCGGTAACCATGCGAGGTGTGGAGAGCCCCGTCCCTCCAGCCAGCGCAGTGCAGTGACTGTGTCTGCAGGATGGCGAGCAGGTCTGCACCCATCAACTATGACCCAGTGCTGGTCTGACCCTCCTCTGCTCCACGCTCTCTGGGACAGGGTTCCCTCTCCCCTGACCTGACCCCTCCTGAGCTTTCCACTGCCCAGAGAATTGTGCTGAGGGCAGACCCAGGGACTTGCACTTCATAGAATCACATAATAGTCTAGGTTGGACCTCATCTCCTTCTAACCCCCCTGCTCTGAGCAGGGACACCTCCCACCAGACCAGGTTGCTCCAAGCCCCATCCAACCTGGCCTTGAACCCCTCCAGGGATGGGGCACCCACAGCTTCTCTGGGCAACTTGGGCCAGGGTCTCACCACCCTCACAGCAAAGAATTTCTTCCTGAAATCTCATCTCAATCTCCCCTCTTTCAGTGTAAAACCCTTCCCCCTTTTCCTATGGCTCCCCTCCCTGACCAGGAGTCCCCCCCCTCCCAGCTTTCTGGAGCCCCTTTAGGGACTGGAAGAGGCTCTAAGGTCTCCGCAAAGCCTTTTTTTCTCCAGGCTGAACCCCCCCAACTCTCTCAGCCTGTCCTCACATCAGAGGGCCTCCGGCCCTTGGAGCATCTCCGTGGCCTCCTCTGCTTCAACACATCCATGTCCTTCTGATGTTGGGGGCTCTACCCCTCTCAAATCTCCTCACTTGCCCTGGGAGAAGCAGCATGGACCTTGAGTCTGCCCCTGCTTTGTGCCCGTGTCATCTCCTGCCTTTATGGTATGTCCCCCATTCACAGGAGGAAATGGAGTTCTGCCAGGTGAAAGGCTCTCAACACCCCCCTCCACCAGCACTGCTTTTGGGGCTCCACAGGCTGGGGAACCCACCCTACCCTGCTTCCCACACTCATACTCACCCATGCTGGCTCCACAGGGACACTTGGAAGTTCAGAAAGTTACTGTAGATATGCTTTGAGTCACAAGATTTATAGCCGCGCCGTGCCAGGGGAGGAGTGCAGCTGACACTGCTGCTGCTGATCCCATCCTGTTCATCTCGGGGCATATTAATGAGCTGTAGGGCTGTAACCTCAATGGGCAGTTCCCTGCAGCAAGGATGTTCATCTACTCTGATAAGAGCCCTTATCAGGACCTGTGCAAATACAGCCCAGGAGCGGCAAAGCCATGCAGACACTTCCCATGTGTCAAGCAGAACTTTTCCTGGATATGTCACCAACAGGTGTACGGAGACATTTGCTGAGCTCCCTCCTGTCAGGACACAACCCTGGAGATGCAGGCCCGCTCACACAGAGCAGAGTAGAGTCTGGGGTCCCTCCTGATGGATCTCTGCTGAGGTGAACAGGAGCTGGATGCAGCAAACCAGCACCGTGGAAGACCCCAAGGATGTCCCTGCTTTCACAATGCATGGCTCAATAGTGGTCACAGGCATGAAGCAATGATGGCAACTGTCCAGCTTGTCATGCCCAGTGCTCATGTCAGGAGCCAAGCTAAAGGGACTGGACCAGTCGAAATGTGAGACTATTTCTGTCTGAGTCTCAGATGAAAGCAGGTCACTCCAGAGTCACAGGGAACATCTGGTGCTGGGAAAATCATAGAATCATAGAATGGTTAGAAAAGATCAGAGAGTTCCAACCCCCCCTGTTTGGGTGGCAGGGACACCTCAATTGTGTCCTTTGAGCAAGATGTTCAAAGCCCCATCCAGCCTGGCCTTAAACACTTCCACGGATGTGGCAGCCACAACTTCCCTGGGCAACCTGTTCCAGTGCCTCACCACCCTCACAGCAAAGATTTTCTTTCTAATATATAATCTAAATCTCCCCTCTTCCAATTTAAAACCATTACCCCTTGTCCTGTCACTGCACTTCCTGACAAAGAGTCCCTCCCCAGCTCTCCTGTAGGCCCCCTTCAGATATTGGAAGGCTGTTATGAGGTCGCCTTGGAGCCTTCTCTTCTCCAGGCTGAACAACCCCAGCTCTCTCAGCCTGTCTTCATAGGGGAGGTGCTCCCTCCCTCTGATCATCTTCGTGGCCCTCCGCTGGACCTGTTTTTCCATGTCCTTCCTGTGTTGAGGACTCCAAAGCTGGACACAGTGCTCCAGGTGGGGTCTCACAAGAGCAGAGCAGAGGGGTAGAATCACCTTCCGCAACCCGCTGGCCACACTTCTGATGCAGCCCAGGACATGGTTGGCTCTCTGGGCTGCCAGCGCGCACTGCCGGCTCATGTTGAGCTTCTCATCCACCAACACCCCCAAGTCCTTCTCCTCAGGGCTGCTCTCCAGCCATTCTCCACCCAACGTGTATTTGTGCCTGGGATTGCCATGTCCCAGGTGCAGGACCCTGCACTTGGCTTGGTTGAACTTCATGCGATTTGCATGAGCCCACCTCTCCAGCCTATCCAGGTCCCTCTGGATGGCATCCCTTCCCTCCAGTGTGTCAACCGCACCACCAAGTTTGGTGTCATCAGCAAACTTGCTGAGGGTGCACTCCATCCCACTGACCATGTCACCAACAAAGATGTTGAACAGCACTGGTCCCAGTACCAACCCCTGAGGAACAGCATTCATCACTGGCCGCCACTCGGACATTGAACTGTTGACCACAACCTTTTGAGTGCGGCCATCCAGCCTGTTACAACTGGCAGTGCAGAAACTGTGGGGTCGCAGCATGTCCTCTGCACAAGGCAGCTGTGTGCCACTAGCCACCACCATGCAAGGCCCCTGCTATATACAGTACAATCTACAGTGACACATGACACTTTTTGTCCAAGCCAGCTTTAGCTATGGTTGCAAAAAAATACTGCAAAAAACATTTTCTGAAGTCTCACATTTGAAAAATTACTGAATAATACCAGCAGCTGCAAAATGTCACCTACTGAGAAAGCAAGAGTTTCAGGACAAGAAGGGCTTTCCCCAGTAAGGCTGAGGTGAACGTGAAGGTGAAACACAAGTTGTATTGCTTGCACAGAGAAGTCCAGGTTACTCCAAGACTCTTTCAGAGTTACTCTTGGGCACTAACTTGCAGCTCAACCATTGGAGCAGATTTCAAATAAGTGAATCAAGAAAGTAGGTGATTTTTGTCCCCACTTACTATGCCTGTTACATGATGTTTCAAAAACATTTTCTCTCATAACTTATTTCTGCAGAGATGTGATGCTTGGACGATTACCCTGGGAGGGATGGGAAGTTCCCAGAGTTTCTGTTTCGTGACAGGTCTATGTAAATGCCACAACTGCAGTACCTGAGGTGGCTGCGAAGCCATGCTGAGCTCAGAGGAGCCCTGTCTCAGAAGTCAGGGGTTTCTGACCTGTCAAGTGGGGTATTGCAGAGCAGACGGTGCTCTTCCAGAGCTCTGAACAGACACCCATGGCTGCTGATCACTGCCCGGGTGGACCTGCACTTGACCTCTCCTGCACCTCCTGACAGCGGAGCTCACCTAGATGTGGCTGAATCGGCTCTGTGGCAGTGTGAAGCTGCCCTAATGCTGACACAAAGCAGCCCCCAGCAGCCACAGTCTTCCCGCCCCTGCAGGGTGCAGGCAAGGGCAGCCTGGGCAGCAAGAGGGCAAGAGGCAGCTCTTGCACTGCTGGGACCCCCTTGTGTCAGCATGCGCCTAGTGAAGAGCCACTGCACGCTACCAGCCAGCTGTTCTCCACCAATTTTATGGACATTTGTTTCTAAGCAGATACTTCTACCTCCCCCTCCTTACTTTTTTCTTTTCCTTATTGGCCCCTGCAGCATCTGCAAGATGGGAAGTGTTTGCCTTCAAACTGTGAGGTGTGAGAGGTGTTTTCTTTTCCCAGAAGAAATCTCAAAGCACATCCTGAGTAAAGAAAACACTAAGATCTATGCCGTCATGTACCTGTGGACACAGATAAAATTTTACTGCAATGAATGTGTCACTTTCAGTGCCTATTTCTAGCATTATAAACAAGGATTAAGTTTGTGTAAAGCAAATATTAACATGCCGGCATGACTGAATTCAAATATCATCTGAGTATAGGCAAGAAAGAAATTGTTGTAATAACTGATAAACTTTATCTCCACATTCACCAGGAGAAAGGGGCCTTGGATTTCCAGCTCATTGATGCAGGAACCTCGTCCTTCTTTTTGGTTTCAATGGTTTCAAAGCCTGCGAGTGAAGATCCCAAAAAGCACCATTTATGAACACTTCCCTGCTTGCTAAACCCTGCTGCAGAAGCCAGGCCCTTCCTGATGTACTTGCATTTGGTTTTGCTCCATTGCTGGTGATCTTTCCTCTGACCATCATCCTCTCCTTCTGCCGCTTGGCCAGTTTGCTCTGCCCCTGCCGCTGCCAGTGCTCGTGCAGGAGCTCCGGCTCCCTCGGCCTTTCCTCCGACACTGCTAGGGAATTTGAGGCTCTTCCAGGATTTTGAGCAGTGAGAGGGCAGGCCCTGGCCTATCTGCTTCCATTTGCTTTTATCCAGGCCTGTTACAAGGATTTTGCTTTCCCCTTCCTGTGTCAGATGGAGCCAGTGGCTGATGTGTCCCCCTTCCCACCCTGTTTTGGGGACCCATGCAAACACTGCTGAACCCCAAAGAGTTCACCCGAGCAGGGCCCGTCTCCGCACCGGCACAAATGAGACCGTCAAGGTAACAGACCACTGGTGTGGGGCAGAGCGAGCAGGAGGATGCTGATGCTCTCCCGCATCCCTCCAGCAGCAGCCAGTGCCTGGGGTGACATTTGCTGCCGAGCAGAACAAGCAGGTAACAATCACCTGCCCTGGAAAACTGCCTCCTGACCCCAAATCTGCATACAGAGAGGATGGAGCAGGTCAAAAGGGTCTTCCTAACCCCTGCCAGCGGCTGCTGATGTTCTGACATGTGGGATTAATTAAAATTTGCCATGTATAAAGCAAATAAAAATGGTCAGCAAAGGCTGGGACGCTCTCAGCCTTTCTTTTCCCAGCCTGCATGGACTTTCTGCTTCCATGCAGAAATGCCAGAGTTGCATCTGGCCATTAAACCACTCCCCTACTAAAAATCCAAAGTCACCACTAGCCCCTGCACTATCCTAGTCCCTGTTCCATGCAGTTTAAGCCTCATCATGTGAACAAGGCTCCTGGGGCACATCCCACCCCTTCTCTTTGTGACCAGGGTGCTCTGCAGGGTGGGAAGAGGCACCCAGTGGTGATCAGGAACGCCACAGGGAGCAATGGTGACACCCACCTGGCAGAAAACCCAACTCTGCAGGCCCAGGGGTGGCTGCGGACAGCAATGGGCCAAGGTGCCTTGTGCAAAGTGCTTCTGGCCTGTACTACAAGACAGAAACATGTCACAGTTGTCAAGAGGCTGACCCCCTTCCCCATGGCTGCCTGGGGCCAGGGGACCTGCAAGACTGGCAGGACTCTTTGAGAACCAGCTACCAGAAACCAGACTTCCCAACAAGCCAGAGAGTTGACCCCAGCAGCTCCCACTGCAAGCAGGAGTCACATCTTGTTCCCCTGGGAACCCAGCACAGAGGTAGCTGCTCTCTCAGCTTCAGAGCACATCTTCTGTCCCCCTGTGAGCCCAAAGGACCATGTGAGCCATATAAGGTACAATATAATGATGTAACCCAATGTCCCAATTTCTTCCTAAATGCTCTCAAGACATGATGCAACCAGTGACTGGCAGAGGAGTGAAAAGGAAAACAGATATGCACTGGGTCAGCGTGTAAACTTTTCATCAAGAAAGAAATTGCTTTAAAAGGAGGGATTTAATGGCCAGCTGTCTTGGTGCCAGCTGGGATAGGGTTAACTTTTTTACTAGCAGCTGGAATAGTGCTATGTTTTGGATTTGGGATGAGAAATAGTGTTGATAGCTCGCTGGTGGTGTTAGTTGTTGCTGAGCTCTTAAGGCTTTTTCTGCTCCTCACCCCACCCTGCCAGCAATGGGCTGGGGGGCACGAGGAGCTGGGACAGGCCAGGACAGCTGACCAAAGGGACATTCCATACCATGGGACATCACGCTCAGTATATAAAGCTGGGGAAGAAGAAGGAAAAGGGGGACGTTTGCA